ATCAGCTCGATCGAGGAGGCTGGCGCTGCACCCGGCGAGACGGTGAAGACGGAGGTGTTCCGCTCGGAGGAAGCCGACGGCAGCATCGTGACCAAAACGATTTGTACCACGTTGAAAACAGTGAAATCTAGTGGGGGTGCGGTGTTGAAAATGGTGAAGGTTGAGACGACGACTGAGACGGTGTCGGCGGCTGGCAAGATCAGTACCTCAATGGTGACGGAGGCCCGGGAGGAGACGGAAGGAACTAGTCTGTTGACGAGCTATGCGTCTGTTGCGTCTACTTCTGAATCGATAGCTGGGGGAGAGGAGGATATCACTCGAGATACTAAGAAGTTTGTGAAGAAGGGCAAGCACAGCAAAAAGGGGATAACCGATGCCTCGGTCGTGTTGCATGGATCGATTGAGGCAGATCAAAGCCAGAGCGTATGTGCGGCGGCAGCGTGGGGGGAAGAGGTTGGAAGCGTTTCTATAGTATCCACGAACCTGAGTACGAGCATTCAGCCGTTGAAGGTGCAGCGCGGACAATCGTTCAGATTGGCATTCGACGATCTCATGTGTGTTGATCAAGTAAGCGAGAGCTCAAAGGAGCCACGTGACGTTGTAAGAGGTGCTACTGGGTATGCGGAGTCAGGGACAATGACTGCGGTAATTGGGGCGGGCCGAACAGGTAAAGCTGCGTTCCTGGGCGTGTTGGCAGGTGAAGTAGAAGTAAGAAAGGGTACAATTTTCTACAACGGCAGCGAAGCTAGTGCTCTCGTGAGACGTCGTGCCACAGGCTACTGTTGGTTTGGTGACGAGCACGCTGCTTGGCATGGGACGACCACGGTGCGTGAAGCTTTGAGTCTGAGTGCCTGTCTGCGTCAAGACGACAGTATCCCTGAGAATCGCAAGTTTGAGACGGTCGAGACCTGTCTCGAATTATTGGGACTCACTGAGCTGGCTGATAAGAACATCGAGGCTTGCTCTGTAGTCGAGACTCGTCTCGTGGCTATCGGCGTCGAGCTTGCATTTGCTCCAACTGTACTTCTTCTGGACGAGCCTACAAACGGTCTTAACGAGAAGAATGCGCTACGCATTATCCGTGTGCTGCAGCAAGTGGCACGCACAGGTCGTACAGTGGTGTGCAGTCTTGGTGATTCGGAGTCTATGTCGGTGTTGCGCACATTCGATCGACTACTGATGCTATCAAGCAGTGGTGAGACACTATTCCATGGTGAGACTCGTCTGTTAGTTCAGTACTTGGAAGCGCTTCCTGGCGTGAAGAAGATGAGCAGTAGCAAGAGTATTACTGCATGGGCTCTGGAAAGTGTGGGCCAAGGATCCGTGATCTCTCACTCAGCTACTTTTACGACAAAGACGACGATTACAACCGGCAAGGCTCACTCGAACACGAAGAAAAAGCAGAAGAAACAGGCAAGTGCTACCTCGGTGTCGACCAGTTCGAATACTGTCGACCGTGAGAAGGAGGCTCGGTTTGTTCAGTTGTTCCAGCGCAGTGAGATCAAGCGAGCATTGCTGACCCAAATGCAGCGCGTGGGTTACCTTAATCCCGGCTCAAACGATCAGACACCGGCATTGGTCGTTGCATATAAGAGTGGAAACTTGACAGCTTACGCGGCTTCGTGGCGCACGCAGGTGACATGGCTCGTTCGACGAGTAGTGATTTCGTATTGGCGCAGCCTAGCTTCAATCATGACTCGCTCAAAGACAGAAGCGACTACGCAGTGGCAACGACTGGGAGCGATTGGGTTGTTCCTAGTGTCACTCGTGTGGTTCCTCTGGTTCTGCTTTGCGACAAGAAGCACGGAGTATGACACTTTCGATGGAATGAACCAAGGTGCTTCACTTATTGCTTGGTCGACGCTGGTGACTGGCGCTAGCTTCGCGTTCGGTGCTATCGCGACTGCTAGTCGTGGAAATGAGATCGCGTGCTGGCAACGTGAACAGGCTTGGCAAGCGTATCCTGCGGTGGTATACCACGTTTGCTCCTCTTTAGTTGAGCTGCTGTTTGTGCTCGTGATCACACTTGTGGTCGCAGTGTTCTCTTTCACACTTTTCGGATTCTGGTCTATCACTGAAAGCGGCAGTTTCTCGCTCTACTGGCTCACGCTGGCGATCTTCGCTCTTGGGCAAGCGTATCTGGGCCAATGGCTTGTGGGGCTGGCATCAGGTGGAAGAGTTGCAGCAGCCGCTGGCGCTGGGATCAATTTGCTTCCGTTGTTAACGTTCGTTTGGCCCTGGAGGAAGAGCACACTGAGCTACTTGACCTGGTCGCTATTGCCACAACGCTTTGCGCTTCAGGCTCTCCAAGCACTCGTGTTTGGTACAGCTGACTCGTGCGTTTACGAGATGGAGAACAGTGAAGCTGAAAGTGTGAGACTTCAATGTCGAGAACTACGACTGATCCCATCGGACGAGCACTTCTATAGTGAGCACCAACAACTTACGGTGCATTCATTCGCAGAGCTCGAATACGGTGCTGAACGTGGTGTTGTGGCGTTCCGCTTTGTCGAGCTACTAGTCTTCCTTGTGGTCTTCCGGGTCCTTGTGATCGTGGCCTTGCAGAAGCGTCAAGTCCGAACCTAGTCAGATTACTGCATACTATCTTAGTAGCATAATGTGAAATGAAGGTTGTTTACCTAAAATCTAAGACACAGTGGCGTTCATTCTTATGCTGTTGCGTTCGAGTACTACGCATAGCAATATCGAAGATTCAATGTGGCTAACCGCGCCGCATTTTCTTGTACGGAAAATTGAATTCACGACGGCGAATTTGCTCACAGCCATTTGACCATGAGTGACGCATTCTCGAGCTTCCCCTCTTCAATGGATAACGTGTCGTTGTAGGCCACAGCGCTGGGTGGGAAGGAAGTCCGCAGCTCAAACGCGCGTGTTCGAGCTTCAGAGACCTGATCCTTCACGAACGTCCACACCATAGCAAGCGGGTCCGACTTGAGGAAGCGCCGCGTAAGGCGAGAACCATCGGGCACGCGAATCTGAACTCGGGTAACACCGGGGGCACCAGCTACGGTAAAACAAGCACCAACAGACTGTCATGTACATGAAAACATAAAACACAGTGCGCAATTCGGTTCACTGTACCATCGGGCTCTGGAGTTAAGTCCACAACTGGTTCCTGCGCCTTCTCCTCGTCGTTCTTCTCCTCTTGCTCCATGGCATTTCCATCTTGCTTTGTCTCGCCTCCACCGTTCTGCATCGAGGCAGCGATAGCCGCGGCTAGCTGGTCATCTTCAGAAGCATCCATGATATCGGGCTCAGCCTCCTTCGACGAAGTCAGAAACAAAGATAGGTAAGCACACCGACGCCAATCGACAATCGTCGACAAAAAAGCAAACCTTCTTTATCTCTGTCGACGGTGTATCAAATGTGTGCATACAGCAAAAGTCCGACACTGCAGCAAAATACACGTGAGCAGGTCAGTGGAAGCCCTTCACTTGGTCAGGTGCTAGTTAACACCGTACATTTTTCTGTCATGTCTTGCGGCTCATAGAAGCCAGTCCAGCGCTGTCGGATTTCTCCTGTCCGTGGATCGATAATCACCACGATTGGAAGCGAGTCGCGGTCAATCTGGTACAAACTGCAAAACTTCTTGCCGTGCTCCGACGCCCAATAATTCTGCAGCATCCACAACGAGTGTCGGTCAGTCAGCAGCACCTGGCAATGTTAAAAACGACGAAGCTGCATAACGTACTTGCCAGAACACGAAGCCGCTCGCCACGAGGTTTTGCACTACGTCGTCACTCCACGTGTCGCGGTTGAGCATGTGACTTGCGAACACGATTTCGTCTTGGATGTTGACCAGGAGCCATTTTCCCTCATTCTTGGCGTGCGTACGAGCCTACATACATCAGAACGTAATGCGTCAACACAAACGCCAACCGTCCAGCGGCAAAAGCACGTACATCAGCGTAAGTTCCTTGAAACATGATGGCTGTGGGTGGCTGGAACAACGTGCTAAGATCGCGCGTGCGCTCAGTGCTGGTACCGTCTGCATCGTTCGAATTGTTCGAGGCCTCGCCAAACGCCACTGCTCCAGGGTCTCCGAAGGCCGTGGAAATGCTGCCGGCCGTCATCGCCGCAATGCTCTCAGCTGCAAAGTCGCGGTTTTGGTCGCGCAGATGACGCATTGGTCGCACTGCAGACACAACACAGGAGTCAGCAGTCACTATCTTGAGCCACACTAATTGCACCCCATCGAAACGCACTGAGGTCCATCCCGGAGTCCACGAGACGCTGGCGTTTCGACGGATCGGGCGCTCGCACGGCGTTGTCACTGCAGCATAAGCACAAGCAAGAGCGACGTCTCAGTAAAAAGACGCTAGCTAGCGTAGCAGGAATAGTAGATAGTAAGAACGCACTCTTCTCCGTAGGCAGCAGCGATGGCGGCGGCGGTGGCCGCGTCCATGTCTGTTGACGGAGCCGGTGGGGGGCTGAAAGTAGCGCTGGAGCTTGCTGCAGCCTGGCGCGGAGCTGCAAACGCCGTATTAGCGCTCTGGCCGCCGCTCTCCATGTACAGGTTGACCTGGAGGGATTAATAGAGAAGATATGAGTGTCTAGAGCGCAGGAATGGGTAGGAAATAAGAAGACGCACTGCCTCGTCCAGTTTCCAGTTGGTAAGCTGCCATTTCGATAGTTCAACACAAGAGTCCGGTGTTAAAACTGTGAAACGAAGAATGGATATGGCTGGTAGAAGTGCCACCGACCTCGAGGAACTGCAGCGCGCTGCCGGAGTCGGCGCCGGTGATGCTCATGAATCTGTGTGGGGGACGAGGAGGTGGAGGTCGTGAGATATATATAAGGTGGGGAAAGATGCAGCTTCAGACGCACGAGGCCAGCGCGTCTTGCGAGTCGGGAGCGTCCGCCATGGTGTCTGCGCGATCAAAAAGAAGTGAAGAAGGGGAGTCACTCGAGTGAGAGTATGTCCTCGTTTCAGTGACGTATTCGGTAGTAAATCTACTGATGGATCTTTCGAGAGTGATCTGCCATTAGTCATCGGCCGCCGGCACGCCGACGACGTCAGATCTACACGTACTATGAACCTCCAGCACCAAGCGCGTGAAATCTGCAAGCACTACGACGAGACCGCAAAAACTGCAACTCCTCGAAGAATGAGATCCGTGAGCTCCAACAATGCAGGTCGTGTTAAGCGGAATCGGCGAAAGCTAACCAGACCCTTCCCAGTTTGGTCTGTGGTATGCAAACAGCTCCCTGGACTCAAGGCAGCTATTCCCTCACGGAAGGCAGCATTGCCAATGCTGCATTGAGGGTCGGAGTGCCGCATTCGAATTCACGGCGCAACTTCAACTGCACGGTTGATTGATTTTGCATAGAGGCGGCAGTCCGAAGTAGAGAGTGCAGTCATGACACGACGCCAACTCGGGGCAACAAAAGGAGACGATTCGATCGCGTTAATGCACGTTAAGTTGCAACTCAATTCGACCAGTACGGGTTCTAGGCAAAACTCCGTGCTGCTGTAGAGCCTTGCCAGGGAACTTGGAACTCATCAAAAGGGAGACTTGGAACTCTCAAAGTGTCCACATCTATGCATTCCTGAAGTTGGTCTGAATTGCTCCGTCTCTCACCACTTCAACGAGTATAGATACGCAAGTACTTCAAAAACATGACAAACATCAAAGTCTCACAAGGCAACAGAGCTCGTTCGCGACGACATTCTCATTGACAAGGGCTGGCGTCGCCACCAAAAGCATGGTGCACAGATCAGACAGAAATGTAGTGAATTGCAGTGAGGCGACTGAAGTTTGGTGGTGTCGTGGTTCACCTGATTTGGATACTGTACAGCGACTGAGGTTAACTGAAGCGTGATCACGGGAGTTTACAAGCGGTTTGCCACTCACTCGGGCTCGCCAAACAACCTGCAACCCGAGACGTTGGAGCCTGACGCGCACTTGGCCCTGCAGCTATATGTAAACAGCTCCGTAGCTTGACTTATATAAAGTCTCCAACTTGAAACTGCCCCGCCACGCGAACGAGGGAGTTTAGAAACCATGCGAAGCTCCTCGTTTCCCCAGTGATTTGAGTGGGTTGCCCTCCGAAATTCGGATGTGGACTGCACATTCCCTCGCTTCTTGTTGTCTTGCAGGCACCACTAGCCGCGTGGCGGGCTCTGTCAGCTCTTTGTGACGATTGAACTTGAGTCCCCATCCTAACCTGAACAAAGAATTTAGTGACTGGCTCAAAACAGCTGCTTGAATTCTTGAAACCAAGCAGCCAAGGGAGGGATGACCTCAATTAGCATATTTCCAGACAGAGTGAGAACGGCGGTTGACACCACGTCTAGATCCGTTTTGCGTGTCAGAGCTCGGCTCATTTTGGAACTTGCCAAGCGCCAAGCAAACTCCTCCTCACCCTCCAAGTACCAGACAAGATGCCTCGTTTCGCTGGAGTCGAAGTTGGCGGCACCACGTGGGTGGTGGCCATCGCCGAGGACCACCCGGAGAACATCCTGGAGAAGTTCGAGGTGGACACGACGACGCCCGACGAGACGATGGGCGCCATTGTGGCCTGGCTGAAGGAGCGCAAGTTCGACTCGATCGGCATTGCCTCCTTCGGCCCCGTGGACCTCAACAAGAAGTCGCCCACGTATGGCTACATCACGAGCACGCCCAAGCCCAACTGGGGCAACACGGACGTGGTCGGTGTATTCAAGCGTGCCTTCCCGGACGTGCCCATCGGTTTCGACACGGATGTGAACGCCCCTGCACTGTATGAAGTGGCGTACGGTGGCCACGGCGACATCAGCAGCGCCGTGTACATTACGGTGGGCACTGGCGTTGGCGTTGGCGTGTGCACGAACGGCAACGCCATCCACGGCTTCATGCACCCGGAGGGCGGCCACATCGTCGTGCCACCTGCCCCGCAGGACATTGAGACCGGCTTCAACGGCGTGTGCCCGTTCCACGGCGACTGCGTTGAGGGCATGGTGGCGTCTGGCTCAATTGCTGCGCGTACGGGCGTGGATCGCCGTGACCTGGCCAACATCACGGACGACGACCCGGTGTGGGACACGATCGCGCACTACCTGGCCAACCTGTGCATCAACGTGACGTTCCTCACGTCTCCGGACGTCATTGTCATTGGCGGCGGCATTGCTCGTCGTGAGAAGCTCTTCGACTTGATCCGCGAGAAGTTCGTCGCTCGTGTCAACAAGTACGGCCAGCAGCCTCCCGTGGAAAAGTACATCCGTGCCTCTTTCCACCCGGCCATCGGTCTCGTGAGCTCGCTCCACCTGGCACGTCTGGAGCTGCAGTAAAAAAAATGTATGAAGAACAGGTATTTCTCCGCCACATCGCGTTCAGCCATCCCCACACTTGTAGTAGACGGTAGGTAGAGTGGAGCGAAGGATCTGAAGGAATTTGTAGTTCTAGCGCCTTGGTAGCTGGAATACAAGCTGTGTTTTATGTCTATCTACAAGCTCGTTCGTTAGTGGATCCGAAGGTGACTCTTTATCGTATTGAACAAGGTGCTGATGCCTGGGTGGAATGGGAGCTGGCGGGTTCTATTCCAGCATACAGCGTCTTCACCGAAGCTCGGCGTCAACTACGTGCAAGCGAGCTCACCCACCACAACGCTCGAGTTGCAAGCTACAGCTTCAACGCTGGTTGTCGGTCAAGACCTGGCCAAGTATGGCATTGCTGGGGTCGTCTGGAATTGTGTACGTTTCTACAGAATCTCGAGTGTGTACAGGGTGACATTTTCCGTTTGATCTCTTTCGGACTCTACACGTACAGGCTCGAGCGATGATGTCGTTCTTCGAGGTCGAGTCGCAGTTCGTAGCGCAGTTCCATGTATTGGAGCTAGGTGCAGGCCCAGGCGCGGTGGGGTTGGCTCTCGCAAGCGTGTGCGAAGTATCGTCGCTCCTGCTCACGGATCTTGAGAGTGTGGTGCCCTTGACTCGAGACAATGCTCGGCTCGCTGCGCAACAACACGCATCGATAGCCACCCTGATTGCTAGCAACCACCTTGACGTGCAGCCATTATGCTGGTGCGATTTCATCCTATAGAACGTAGCTCTCTCTTGTACCTCACTTGCATGCTCAATTGAATTCGTAGGGGCGAGCCACTGGACAATACCATTGTAAGTGGTCCTGTCGATGTCGTGGTGGCTTCCGATTGTTTGTACGAGTCGGTATCGCACTCGGGATTGTTGTCGACGCTACTGGAGCTGACAGATATTTCTAAGCACGATACTGCATCTCGGCACTGCCCCATTGTACTGCTTGCCTACAAGCAACGCATACCTGAGTGAGTATTCCACAGATATTTGTTGTTTTGTAGTACTGATCGTGGCTGCATTCACAGGAAGGAGAAGCTCTTCTTTGAGTCGGCTTCGGAGCACTTTGACATCGCTGTCTATTGCAACGATACGTCAAGTACATGCACGACCAATAACCGTGGTGATGCCATTGAATACTACGACGAAGCCATTTACATATGCAAGCTAGAGCGCCGCTCCCATGGAGCTGGAGCTCTAACATAACCAAGACAAATGGACACGTAAGAAAAGACCAGGCAGCTTCGAAAATGGTCACAGCCAGAACCATATTCAAAAACTAAAATCCACGCAAACGTTATATCTTGCCGCGCTCTATCCATTAGCCGTCTCCACTTGTCTGTGGTTACACTAGCTTACAGCTTCAGGAAGCGCAGCACCTCCTTGTCAAAGCACGACTTGAGCAGCGTGTCGCCGTTAACAATCTTTGTCGTTGCCACAATAATGTCGTATGGGCCTGTGCAAACATTAACAAAATAACCATGTTAGTTATATACAAACCGAAAGGGTATCTCGAATCGCAGGATACTTACAGTCAGGCTGGCGAGATAGATGACGCAGTGCAGCGATCTCCATAAAGGTCACACCACCAAGGTAGTACACGAGCAGCACCTTGCGTTCTTCGCTACCGAAGTTGTCGAGCTTGGAAGCCGCAGCAGGTGCAGCTGGGTCGTCACTGGCATTCTTACTGGTCGCCTGCGAGACTTCCCCCGAGGGTCCAGGCAGCTGACGAAGGCCTTCCTGTACAGCACTCCAGCCACGGGGCTTGACTGCGCTCTCTACAATACGCACAGACAACGGGGCATAACCAGCGGCATGGCTACGACTGACGTAAGCACAATCACGAGGGTTACGCGGGTCCACATCCTCATTGAGCAAGCGAAACGATTTCCGCGCAAGTCCAAAGCCGCTCGCTTCATTCCACAGAGTATCACGTCGACTGAGCAGACCAGCCTTCTCCAAATTGCTCAGTGCCAGCATCATCTCAAAGCCGTACGTCTGTACGAGCTCGCGACTGAGATGCGTGTAGTTCTTCGTCTTGATGCCGCCTGCAGCCACAGACTGAAGGCAGAACTGTCGAAGCACACCAAGCAGAGGCTCTTGATCTCCAATACGCTCCTCAAGCTGCTCGAAGATCGTCTCACCCGTAAGTACCAGGTTCTCTGCGTCCTTGAGATCGCGGAAACGCTTCGAGTCTGTGGTTTTCTTGATCAGCTCGGCCAGATTAATGTGCTGCTGTAGGGACTGGTAGTTCTGCTTGAGACCTGGAATACGCTTGACAAACTCGCGGATCTCACTGATCGAAGCGTCGCGGTTCTTGCGGAACTCGTCGTAGCGCTCGCGGATCTCGCGAGCCTGTTGCTGGAGGTTCATACCGAGACGTTCAACGTGATAGTCGCGCACTTCGGCGTACAGCTTGTCGTTTGAGTTGAGTGGCACTGACACTTGTGCGGGGCGGTTGCTGTTGCCTGAGTTGGGTCCGTCGTCGTCAGCGATGAGCTCCGCGTCCACAGTGATGAAGCCGTGCGTGATGCCCAAGATCTCGTCCAGAAGTCCTTCGTACGTCATGGGGGAGCACATGGGCGTCACTAGATCCACATTACGGTCGATAAGCACAACCGTGTCGATCTCAGGGTCCAGTACACCAATGGGGTTGCCAGCCACCTCCTGTTCGCGACGGAAATGAGTCATCATCTGGTAGATAACCTTGGCCATGGCGCCTTTGTACTTGACGTGAGGGATCATACCGAATACAGTCTGCAACTTAATGAGTGAGGCTGCAATGGTGTGCAGATTGGTCTTGTCGCCGTCCACGTAGAACTCCTTGAAACACGCGTCCAACTCGAGTGTCAATACATCGTCATCGAAAGGGATGAGATCCAATTTGTACTCCCCCACACTGAGGCTACCGAACACTCCCTCTTTCTTTAGCACCTCGTCACACACGAGCGTACGGCGGCTCACGTAGTAGAGGTGGAAGCGCTTCTTGGACGAGCTCGAGGACTTGTCCGCGCCCAAGTCGCGGATGTATTTGGCCACGTAGCGCATGGCGCGCACAGACGGCCGCACGAGGAAGAGGACAAACTCGCAGCTGGTCTTAACTGTCTTGCCGAACGCGTGGAAATCCTTAACACCATGGTCTTTGAGCACTGCTGTGCCGTCTACTAGCACATGGTTGAGCGGCCCATTAAGCTCTGGGTCTAACACGAAGCAAATATCCTTGCCGATCGAGTCCAGGATCGAGAACAGCTCACGCCGAGAATCCTCTCGAAGCACGGCCAGGTTCAACACCCCGTTCTCCAGCGTACACGCCTTTGACATAGTCGCTTCTTCGCTTATCCCCCTTGATATGATCCGAGAACGGCTTACAAGGTCAAGTCAAATGGATTAATCCAAACTAAATTATCTTTTTGGTCCAGATTACGCATGGATTTTATTCTTTTTGTTTGTAAAACTCGTGTTTTATTCATTGCTGGTGATATGCTTAGCTTGTACGGTGGAGCTGCTCGGCGGCGCGGCTTCCGACCAGCATTAGTGAGGGCCTTTTCTTCTTCTGTTGAGCCTGATGATACGGATGTAGTGTTGACGCGTGAGTTCATATATGCGTCGCTGTACGCGAAGGAGGCAGGATACTTCTCGACCCCGCAACGGGAAGTGCTCCATGCTCCGACCCAAAGCATCGACTTCGGCAATCTTTGGGGCGCCGGCGAGTATCGCAACGTAGTAGCGCAGTTATACAAGGAGAGTCCCGAGGCCTGGCTCACGCCCGTGGAGGTGTTCGCACCGTACTACTCGCAGGCGCTGGCACGTTACATGCTCAACTCGCCATTCTTCCGCCAGGAGCTCGAGGTCTACGAGATCGGCGGTGGCTCTGGGTCCAACGCGCTGCACATTCTCAATTACCTCAAGGAGCAGGCACCAGACGTGTATGATAAGACCAAGTACACGCTCATCGAGATCAGCCCCGTGATGGCCGAGAGGCAGCGCCAGCGTGTGGCCGCCGTGCACCCGAAGCAGTGCACGGTCATCAACCAGGACATTTTGACATTCGCAGACACACACGCACCCGTCAGCTCGCGGTGCTTCTTCCTGGCGCTCGAAGTGTTGGACAACCTGCCGCATGACAAGGTCACGCTACAGAACGGCAAGTGGTACGAGACCATCGTTAAGATGCACAGCGGGGCGGACGAGTCGGCGGCCGGCCCAGTGCTGGAGGAAGCCATGCGTCCAGTCAAGGACATGCTGATCCGCCAGACACTCCGCTACTTCGGGTGCGAACTGCCGCTGCACGTGTCGTACAAGAACAACTCTGGTCTGGCGCAGCGTGTGCGGCGTATGCTGGGCAAAGACGACCCAGTGCTGAACTCGGCTTTCGTCCCGACGGGCGCCATGCAGCTGCTGAACACGCTCCGGACGACGTTCCCCAAACACCATCTCATTGCTGCTGACTTCGACTCGCTTCCGGCCCCGAATCTGGATGAAAACTCACCGATTAAAGCTATTGAACACCCGCTCAGCGCCACGGCAACATCAGCCGGAACGCTCTTCGCCGGCAATGCACCGCTCGTCGCGTCCAAGCTCACAGGTACGGAGATCTGCACATATCAAGACGGAAATCTGCTTTGTTGACTGGAGAAGTCTTGTCTCTTTGTGTCTGCAGGTGTGACGAAGGACCACGACACGTACCTGGTGCAAGGCGGGATCGCCGACATCTTCTTTGCCACAGACTTCGACAGACTCAAGAGAGCGTATTGCTCTGCGCTCCAGCGCCAGCCTGATGAGGTACGTTGGGCTGTGCGTAGATAACCCAGACTCAAATGCTGACTGAGTTTGGTGATCGTTATTTGCAGGTTTCAGTCGTGAAGTCATCCGACTTTTTGAAGGAGTTTGCTGACGTGCAGAAGACCAAGACAATCACTAGGTACGTGGCTGCCATCTTTCCGCTGGAAAATATTCCATAGCTGACAAACGTCTTGATGACATTCAGATACAACCCGCTGCTAGAGGACTACTCCAACACGAGCTTCATTTTGTCTTAGCACGCGAAACTGTTGTCCACTGTGGTGAAGTCGTATAGAAGACTGTCTGATAAGTAGAGATTTTTGCAACCTTACACTCGAATAATAGGAAAATCAACGCCGTCGTCGCAGGAGCTTGGAATGGAGATCCGACTCAATCTTCTTTTGCTTTAGCGCGTCCTTTGCCATCTGGGTGCACCTGGGGCACATAACGTACGTCGACGTGGGGATGTCTTTTGTCGCGTGGCCAAGCCTCTTCACCTCTTTCGGCAAATGATCCTACACGATAGAGATCAGCATTTCCACGGCAACCACAGGGCAATAACAAGCATAGCCTACCTGGCAATAGGATGTGACACAATAGCGGCAAGAGTAGTGCGCTATGATGCCACAGTCCTGGCAGCGGTGACGCGGACAAACCCACGTCTTCCCCTCTGGCACTTCGTAGCCCAAGCAATCTACAGTCGCATCACATTCACACAGTACGTCAGTCATGATCTTAATCAGAGATCAGCGCTGTCTCACTCTTCTCTCTCTTACCTTCATGGTACACCTTGGGACAGCGCGCAAAGGCCCCATTCATTCCCTTCCAGTCACACTCGATTACATCGCCACCATCCTTGCAGCAGAAGCATACATCCTCCGATTCCTCGAACTCGTCCGTTATCTCACGCTCCAACAAGAACTTGAAATATGTCACCAAATAGTCAATTGGCTGCATATCGGACGTCGAATTGATTTGCTTCGCCAGTTCCGGTTCATCTTCGTCTGCGGTGGTGCTATCTTCAATCTCATTGCGTCGCTTTCGCTTCTTCTGCTTGGACGCTGCAGTTGAATCAGCTTCGGCCCCCCTCGCTTCCTCACTAAGAGGAGCATCATCGTCGTCATCTGTTGAGCAATTCGGACACAACCAGTTCTTGGTCCGCCACACCTTGTGAGACTGCGCTCTGCCAATCAGTTTGTCGATGCAGGGCAAGCAGTACACTCGCGTGCAGATTTCGTGTGTGCAAGCCTTTTTAGACTTGGCTGGTAAGGCTTCAGTCGACAGGGCACATAGCCCACAGTAATTGTCTTGGCCACCCCTCTTCGAGACCGGCAGATTCTGCACGCGCTGCTGCAGTACCCGCTGCAAGCATACCTTGCAGATATGAACCATTTCTCCCTTGCCGTCCTGTTCAAGCAACAACATAACGAAGCAGTCCAGTCAGAAATGGATAGCAGTACTGAAACAGCATTAAATGGCGCAACCTTGAGCACGAAGGGATGCTTCGGGTATGCTGGCGCGTCAGGCTTCCTCTGCATGCGACACAAGACGCAGATCATCTTGCTCGGGGGCGTGGCTGCCTTCACCTTCCCCTTGTTTTTGGGTTTGTTCTTCATCTGTGTCTTCACGGGCTTCTTGCCCTGCCTTTTGGCCTGGTTCTTATTCTTATCCGGCTTCTTGACTGTGATCAGTGCCAGCCGCTCCTCTCGTTTCTTAACCTTACTGGCTGCTGCCTGCAGTCGGACGCCCTCGTCTATCTTTCGCTTCTTGTGTTCCTGCGTAATTTCCATCTCCATCACCACTGAGCTTTGTAGTAGCGCATATCTCTGCATACGTGTGAAGGCCTCAAACGTGCGTGCGAATAGTTCGTACTCAAAGTCAGAGCGGAAGTGGAAGCAGTAGCAGAGTCTTGTGGGCGGATCAGCGCCTCCTCTGGGCCTCAGCGTGGGTCTCTGTGGGGCATCTACCTTGGCTATCATATTAGGGGACGCCACGGCCGCTGCCAGCGACGTCGCGTCCTTGCTATTGGCAGAGGCTGTGAGTACGTGTGTCTTCTTGACGGCCTGGGGAATGTCCACGTAGCTGTCCAGGGGAGCGGCACCCACCGTTCGGCTCTCTGGCGGCACGAAAGGGGCCGTGACGCCCCATAGCATCGACCGCTCCTCGCGCTGTAGCGACATCGTGGCCAGACGCGCCACTTGCAGCAACTTGTCAGTCACAGCATCGGCCACCACGAGCTTCTGCTGGCTCCATTTGGTCAGAAAAGTCTCGCACGCCGGATAGGGACGTGGCGGCAGCGTCAGCTTGGCGTCGGGCGCCACAACGCGGAAGCCGGCGGCGCTCTCGGCCTCGATCAACTGGAGAAGTACGCCTCGAAACGCCATGGATGCGGACTTGAAAGTGACCTAGAGTTAGATATGTCACTATGGAGAGGGAATCCAGTGACAAGATATCTAGTGCCGCGAAAAGACGCAAAGCGACCCAAATGCTTGTCATTTGAGTATCTTCCTCCAAGTCCCTTCACCTTGTCTCCTAGTTGCTGCGATGCCTTCACACACCGGCGAAGATCCTCACCACCACAGCCACCACCAATCGCTGATGGCGGAGGAATTTGCCATGGGTGACGGCAAAAAGCGCCACGCGTTGCTGACCAACGACGACGTCTTCGCCGAGGAGCAGCAGGCCCGACAGGATGAGCTAGACGCGCTAGTGGGTAGTCTCGCGCAGCCAACAGATCTGGAGGCGCTTCAGAGTTTCCTGGCCAGCGACGCTGCCCAGAAGGACAAGATCGATCAGCTCGTCAACTTCTTGGCCGATGGCCCGGTACCGGAGCCTCACAACGAGCTTGTGGCGGAGACGGATATCTTTGCCGACGAGCAGGAGAAAAAGCAGAAAGAGTTGGATGAGCTGGTGGACTCACTGTCCGACATCACCGTGGCCCCGTCTCCAGCCACTGCTACGGCCACGGCCTTGTTGGCGTCGGACGCCAACGACGTGGACTTCGCAAGCGCGCAGGCTTCGTTCCTCAACGTTATCGGGGGCGCCGTCTTGCTGCTGGTGGCTGTGGTGCTGGTCGTAGTGACCAAACGTACGCAGTCGAAGCGCGAGGAAGAGGATGAGCGCAAGGATTTCGGCTACAGCATCTTGTACGAGTGAAGCGTCACCTATGTGGTCTACAGTAGCAGACCCTTTTTACACAATCAATACGATGTATTGTCATAACCATGTCTTTTGATGCGATACGGGGCTAACAAATGTAAATTGCATGAAGCTCTTCGAGCAATGCTCATAACGTATGATCGCTGTGCTATATTCTCTTAGCTCTTCTAGCATTCCTCATACACGTATGATACTAAGTTGATAGGACACGTCGGTACGCATGCTGATTGGCCCGCGGAACTTTCCCAGTTCTCCGGCATCGACACTCCAGACATGTATTGGTGAAAAGTGCTGGGCGCGGTAAATAATGATCGCGACTATGTCGGTCCACGCGGGGCAAATGTGGAGCGACACAATAGCTACTGTATCTACTAATACATGCTGCGTTCTCGACATGTAGTTCACAATCCTTGCACTGTGGCAAAGTGATGAATGCAGTTGACTTTATTCTTGGGTTACTCCGCCCACTGGTCGCACGCGATCGTGGCGCCACTCACAAGACGATTGGGCCCGAGAAAGAAGGAGGCAGATGAAGATGGAGGCGCTGGCGTACTTGGCGCGCTCGGATAGCTCCGACTCTGACGATGACTTTGCCTCGAGCGATGGACGCCCCACGCCTCTAGACCCCGAATACTGGCGTGGGATCACACACTCACGAGAGGTGACGCCGGCGCACAGTTCTACCTACAGACATTCGAGCAGGATGGAGACACCGCCCTCACACCACTATGAACACCACCACTACGCACCTGCGACGTACCCCATGTACCATCAGTACTCGCACCAACGCCCGGTGATGTCCCCTAGCGCGATGATGCACAACCACGGAATCTACAGCGGTAATGGAGCTTCCATGTCGCCGATCAACTACCAGGCTGGGCCTCCAATGGTCCCTATCAGCCCAGTCGCGCACATAAACGCAATCCACGAAGGGGGCTACATGCCACACTCTGGTGGGGCGATGTTACACACTGGAGGAGGCATGGTGCATCGCCCAACAGAGTGGAATAACACACAACCTCGCTATCCGGCTACCGTATCCCCCGTCTCGACACCGCAGCAACTGAAACTTCAAGTTCGGGAGGCACTAGTGAGAGCGCAGGCGTACCTGGACTTAGTTCCGTTTTTCCAGTCGTACGACTTGTCATTTGCAGGTGGTATTCGCCTGGGAACAATTCAGCAAGCTCTGGGCAGAATGGGTGTGATACTCAGAGATCATGTGCTCCAGAGTATCGGTCAGCTCTTCAGTATTCCAGGGTCTGGTCTTGTGGACTACGTGGCATTTGGTCGGTTTCTCGAACTCGACGCGCAGGAGTTGTGAGTGTGCTGTGAACGCGATAGCATTGTATATTCTAATACGTTCTCTTCTCTACAGGGACAATATGCGATCGATCGTGGCGGCTCGGCGGAGTGTCTTAGTGAACAGCAACATCGATCTCAGGGATATTTTTGCGCAGTATGACTCGCACCACACTGGATTTTTGCCCCGATCGACATTCGCAACGCTACTGCACGACTACAGCATCATCATACCGGAAATTACACTACATTTCTTGATGATACACCTTGCAAAGCCGTCGGATACGACGTCTGTTTCGTACGTGCGCTTTCTCGAAATGACGGACGTAGGAGTTGCAAGGAGTGCATCGGCGAATCCACCTCACAGCCGCACGATGGAAAACTCCCCACCTCGCCTCAATAGCTGGTCAGGTGGACGATCGGATCCATTTGCACATGAAAGCCCCGCTCCAGGTTATGAGGTGCAGGCTGCAGTACCTGCCGCCAGAGTCGTGGATCATGCCTCCGCTAGCCCAGACTTCGCAACACCTCTACCCAGGCTCGGTTGGGTCTGCCGAGTGTGTTCCCACCAGCAGATCGCGGATTGGGCGACTCACTGTGAAATTTGTGAAACATCTAAGCCGCGTCTTGGACTTCATGGAGAAGGGTACATCAAATGCTTGCGATGCAAATTTGATAACAACTACGATATGGACGAGTGCGAGATGTGCGGACGGCCGCTGAATGCAAGCAACAAGAAGGTGTCGAAGTCGGACAAGAAGCGCAGGGCGAAAAAGCGCTACGTATCAAGCTCTTCGTCCAGCTCTTCGTCATCATCCCCGTCTTCTTCTTCTTCTAGTTCATCAGGTCGTCGCCGAACCAGAAGACGCAAGTCGGGCAAGCGTTCTCGCACATCTCGATCCAGTCGAAAGAAAGAGGAGAAGAAACCGCGATTCCAGCGAGGAGAGGAGATTCAGGCCATTCCACTAGGAGAAAGGGGCTATGAGATCGGTGTGATCGCTCGCGTCCGGCCGAATGGGACCTACGATATCGAGTTTGACAACGGACTATACGAGAAAAACGTCGAGGAAACTTGCATCATTGAAATCTCACGAGCTCGTATCATCAAGGCCAGAGATGCGTCTGACGAAGAAGAGACCAAGAAAACGTCGAAAGCTAAAGGCTCCGATGAAGAGCGCGATCCCGGTTACGAACCTGGTGATCGAGTGGAGGCTCGGTTTCAAGGACGTGAAAGATTTTTTGCTGGTACAATCAAGAAGTGCCGTACTGGCGGGTTGTATGACATCGATTATGATGACGGCGAAGTTGAGTTACGAGTTCGTCCCAAGTACATTAAGCGAGAGGAGGCCAAGAAGCAACAGAAGCCTCCCCCGAAGGAAGACGTTATTTCTGCTTCCGAGGTTTCGTGGGCAAAGGGACAGAAAGTGGAAGCCAAACTGCGTGGATACGCGGATTACGTGAAGTGCGTCGTGTTTCGTGTGCATGAAGATGGGAGCTGCGACGTGGAAACAGAAAGCGGTGAGCTGCAAAAGCGCGTACCGGGCCGAGATCTACGCACGCGTGCTAGTTCGCCAGTCAAGAAGCCTGTTCTCGCAAGCGACGACGAACCGATCCGTCCAAAGAGACCTCTGGTTAAAAGACCAAGTGCTCCTACGACAAGCGACGACTCCTCTGCGCAACCGAAGGGGGGATTCAAGCAAGGACAAGCAGTTGAAGCTAAGCGCAAAGGGAAACCTGGCTACCATCCCGGTGTGGTCGCTCGTTGCCGATTGAATGGCTCATACGACATTGACTTTGATGACGGTGAGAAAGAATTAGCTGTACCTGCATTTCTTGCACGTCCACTCCAATCAGCAGCTCCAGCCAAGAAAACAAGTACAACAAATACAAGAGCACACACTACTCCTCCGTTTAAAGTTGGCCAACCAATTGAGGCTCAGTACAAGGGTAAGAGCAAATTCTACCCGGGCGTGATCTCGCGCTGCCGTCTGAACGGCACGTACGACATCGACTACGATGACGGCGAGAAGGAAACGGGCGTGGCGGCCGAGCTGATCCGTTTGCTGGGCAAGAAGGGCGGTGGCGACACGGACGACGACCTGAAGCCGAAGAAGTTCCGGGAGGGCGACAAGGTGGAGGCTCAGTACAAGGGTAAGAGCAAATTCTACCCGGGCGTGATCTCGCGCTGCCGTCTGAACGGCACGTACGACATCGACTACGATGACGGCGA